ATGCTGTTGTTTGTAGTCAGTCTGTGTGATCTTCTTGCAGCAGCTAACTAGGTGGTCCGCTGTTTCTTCAGCTTCTTTGGAGAGGCGGCATTTGCTATCTGTTGCTGTCTTCTCAATTCTGGCTTTGTATGCATTTGTTCTTAAGGCTTGGTCCTGTGCAGCCAAAATTAGCCCCTCTCTCTCTTTCTTCAATTTTCCTGCTTTTAGCCATTGCCAGGTCTTGTTGTTATCTGCTTTGCCTCTTAACCTTTTTGTGTATTAGCCATGTAATACGTTGTCTTCCCATGTCTCTTTTTTGTTCTTCATTTGATCCTTCTTGTAGGCCAGTTTGGTCTCTTCAGTATTCAGTAAGCCTTCATGGTGTACTAGCTTCGGTGCATCTTCTTCACTGTCCTTCAGATAGCCTTCTAATGCCCTTTTTTCCTTCTTCAACTGTCTGGTGTACTTGTAACATTCCACACCCACCTATGCTCCTTGGTAAGTAGAGTCTGTCAACGTCGCTGTGTGGGTGAAGGGCATGATTCACTGTCATTATTTTTCTGATTTTCCTCTCCAGGGCTTCTAGTTCTGCTTGAGTCCAGTCCACTATTCCAGCTGTGTATCTAATGACTGGAATTGCCCAGGTGTTAATTGCCTTGATGGTATTTCCTCCACTGCATTTGGACTAAGATCTTCTTCACTCTCATGATGTATTCACTACTAATTTTCTTCTTGACTTCAGTGTGCTTGATGTTGTTAGCTTGAAGGATGCCCAGGTATTTGTAGTGATCTTCTTCATCCAGACTCTTGATATTATTTCCATAGGACATCTTGATTCCTTCAGTTTTCACTATTTTTCCCCTTTTGATGGTAAGGGTGGCACATTTATTCAGTCCAAACTCCACTGCAATATCTTGGCTGTATATTCAGACAGTCTTGAGCAGCGATTCTGTTTCAGATGATGTTTTTCCATACAGCTTCAGATCGTCCATGTAAAGGAGGTAGGATAGCCTGGCAGATATTTTTGATGTTTGATAGTCACGGCCTGACTTGTTCAGTATTGTTAACAGAGGCATCAGTGCAATGACAAACAGTAGTGGTGATAGTGAATCTCCTTGAAAGATTCCTCTCTT